CAGATGCTCTTGCGTGGTTTTCGAGTTCTGTCAGAAGACAGAAGAAAGTGGGAAGAAGGCTGTCTTCCACTGGGGAGAAGACAAGTGGAAAAGATAACCTAGTCTTTGGAGAAAATATTCTAAATCAATGCTCTCAACTAACACCTCTGTGCAAAGTAGCGAACAGCAATGAGCGAGGTGTCTGAAAGACCAGAGTTCAAATCCCACGTCAGCTACTTAACTGCAAGAGGCTGAATATCTCTGGGGTTAATAACCATTACTACCTGATGGGTTGTGGGGTTTAAATGAGATAATGCAAGCAAAGCCCTCTGCACAGTGCCTGCTGATCTTAAGGTTGGTAAATTTTCTAGCTGCTATTATGATGATGATGATGATTCAGTACTGTTGCTTTATTTTTCTACAAGTAAATATTCAGTGAAGTCCAAGTGCTGTGACAGGACTGTTCCACTTGGGTATCTCGTCATCACTTCCAGTTTTAACCCTGTATGGCACAGCTGGATTTCTCCAAGACCAAGAGGAGAGGACTGGTGGGACCACCAACACTGACCTTGAGATAGATTTGAACTGCTCATGGACATCAATCAGTTATGCATTTTCAATGCACGCGCACTGAGACAATAAGTCTTCAGTCCCTACAGGCCCGGGGGCTAGTTTTCCAAAACTCAGAGAAATTATATCCCTCAGAGTTCTAGCATTCACAGTCTCAGCATCTATCTTTAGAAAGCACATAATATAAATCCAGTATTTTGAGAGGAAGAGTTTGGCACAAAGGGATTTGGAAGCTATGAGACGATGCTGGGAGTGGTTTGGAGAAGGGAGTTGTAAATTGAACATCTGACGAATTATCCAGATCCTGAAGCACAGGCCTCGGGTCCAGGAACTCTGAATTTTAGTCTTTTAGTAGAATTTATTCTGCCTATATTTACCTAGCACGGAACTAGACAAAAGGATGTTGGAATTACTCTTTACAATCAAGGAGCTTATGCGGTTTTTTAGAATATGAAAAGCATAGACAATCCGAAATTAATCTAAAATCCCAGACCATTTTTAGCTTAGTTATCAGATTTTGAAGATTCTAGCACCAGAATTAATAGCCCCCCAACCCCTCACACTGTGTGAACTTGCTCTTAATTTCGAAAAGCGGAATTTCTGGTCAAGCAAGCAGGAAATGAACTTCACCGAGCCAGAGAAGTCAGCCAACCAGGCCAGCCCGCCTGCGAACCGCCTCCGCCGAGGTTTCGGGGAACCATGGGCAGAGCCAGGGCCCGGCTGTCTCCACAAATGGTGGTGTCTTTCCTCCCGCCAGACACCACCATTTCTTCCACAATGTATTAATTAGCTTTGACACAGGATTTCTAAGGAACAAATGACTCCCAAACGCAGAGGCTTCCAGGCACAATCACCAATGTTCAGGGGCCTGCGGGTTGGCCGAGCTGGGACTGAGGCTGCGCTTGGCCGGCGGGGTCAGCATCAGGATGGCCGGACTTCTCACAGCAGGTCTGGGGGCCCGCGGGGCAGCTCTGCCCCCCGCCCCGTCTCTCCTCCACCAGCCTGGGATGGAGAGCTAGAGGAGGCACGCTTCTCTCAGGGAGGAGGTGGAGGCAAAGGGAGCAAGAGGAAGCCTGTGAGGCCTCTTAAAACCTAGGCATGGAGCTGGCCCGTCACTCCCGCCCACATGGCCAAAGCGAGTCACACAGCAGAGTCCCCAGGTCTCAGGTGCAGGAAAAGATGCATACACTCCACCCACAATGAGGCTGGGCCAGGGCATGGATGGAGAGGAAGGGGAAGAATTTGGGGTCAATCTACCAACCTGATCACCCCCAACCCTAAAAAAAATTCCTTTCCCCTGAAGCATTTGAAGTTTCTCTATTAAAAGAATTTTTCCTCCTTCACTTTTTGTATCATCATCCAAGGTTCCAAATACCTATACTTCTCCCTTAGCCAGAGTCCAGAATTATTTCTTCTATTTCATGCCTCAAATTAGAAAATTTCTCCCTCTCCTTTTGCCTCTGCTCCTGCCATTGATCACTTTTTGGGCCAAATTTTTTAAACTTCTTTGGAAACCAATCTATATGGTGCTGTTTTTTTTTTTTTAAACAAATGGCATTAACATTTGTGGTACTGCCTAAGTTCATTTCCTACAAGTAATAAAGGATATAACTACCATATATGTCACACACAAATCTGAACACCTACATGAAATATTTGAATATTGAGTATAACCTTAAAGGAAATTATTAAGATTTTTAAGGGCTTAATTACTCCAAAAACTTTTTTAAAAGAGTCCAAAAGTTCAATTGTGACATTCCACTCACTACCCATATGAAGAGGAAATAGCTGTGTGGGCTGGTTAGTATTTTGCTTTTTACTGGTACTGGACCCTCTGTCCAGCCTTCTCAAGAATGCAGGCCATTAGTTTAAAGGCAGGTGAGTGAGCGTATGCATAACTCATACCTAACACAGCGCCCCTGGGCAGAGCTCAAAGCTCATGGGACTGGGGTGAGTCTGAAGCAACTAGTATGGCTCAGGCATGTTCTCTGTCTCTGCGTGTAGGCACACATGCATGTGAACATATAATCAGAGTAAATTTATGCTGTACTTACTCATCATTAAAGCCCATGAGTGACCAATAAATTATACTCTATCAGCCTAATGGCTGTTATCATCATTAGGAATCATTAGTCCATCAAAAAAGGATATTTGTTTGAGTTGCTAAGGTGATATGTTCTGCAGTTGCTTTACTCTTCTGTTTCTAAAGCCAAGTTATGGCAACAGGGGAGAAGCCATTTCTTGGGTAAAGAACCCCAATTCAGTGTCTCTATGCCACCATAGCTTTTACCATCCCGGACTGCAATGGTTATTGGCTCTGGCAACCACTGGATTCTAAGCTCCAGGGGGCAAGCAAGCAGTTGCCTGTGTCCAACATTTTATCTCTTGGTGCAGTGCCAGCCATGTGTTAGCTGCTCAATAAATATTTATTGAGAGAAGTAAACATCATTCCAATCTGCTACGTAAGGCAACGCAAGTGAAGCGTTCCGTCACTTGTCAATGTTCTACAACTATCTTTAATTATCATAATCTCCATTACGATGATCTACGGAGAAAAAGCATAATAAGCTGACCACCAGTTAGTTACAAATGCGCCAGCCCAGGCAATCTGCCAACTTTGCACATTTTCTGTTTGGGGGGCTTACGTTCAGATCTCCCCGTGAATGTATACAAGGTGGGCTACAGGGCATGTAAGCACGCTTCGCAGTGGGGGGTGGGCCTGTGCTCGCTGCCTCCCCACACAGACAACCCCAGTAGTGACAGACAACCTTGGGCTTCACACTGAAACGGTTTCACTGTGAAAGCTCCTCAAGGTTGTGAAATCTAACTGAAATTCAAGTACAAAATAAAAATTACCAGAGGAAAAAATACTTTTTTTCTCTGCATTAAAAAAAAAAAAAAAAAGGCGACGATCCCCCCCTCCCACCCCCGCCCCCAACGATACAGGACCATAATGATTCAATTTCTCTGGCACCAATCAGCATCGGCCTGTGAGATCCAGACCTGGCACATGGAAATTTCAGCCTTAAGTCAAATATTATTTCAAAGTTAATGACAAAATCTATTTTTGCAGTGGTCTTGTTTAAAATATTTCCCCTTAATACTCTTGAAATGCTGTAATTGAAAGCAGTTATTTGAGATGCCAGTGCATGCTTCTTTAATTATGTCCTGGCCCATCTGTTTCCAATGAAGGGGCAGTATCTGTTTGCAGTTACCAATCTTATGAAAAACAGGCTCGTCCCGAAATAGATTGGAACTAAAACCAGAAAGCATTTCTTTCAGAGGCATCCTTTCAAGCCAATTAACTTTAATCATTATAGAAATGTTTATTTCCCATCTTAGTCTCTCTTCACATGTAAATTCCTTCAGGGGAAAAGATCTCTTTTTGTGACTGTTTGAATAGTTCCAATTTGGATTAATCAGAACCTGCTGGCCTGTTTATGTTCCAATTGTGAACGCTGGCAGCTTCCTTGACGCGGGAGGCCCTGGCCCGAGGGGAGCAGACCCAGAGAGGCGGCAGCGCGCACCTCCTGGTCAGGGCGTGGGCTTCACCGCCGCGTCCCCCGCTGGCTCCTGTGCCGTCTTCTGGGGTGGGAACTGAGGAAGCCATGTGATGGTGGGGCACCGGGAATCCCACGCCACAGCGCTATGAACCCCGTCTCCTCTAAGGAGCCAGACGTTCCCTTGGGCCACACACTCCCATGTCACTCTCATTACAGCTGTAAAAAGGCCTGGTGATCTTGCAAAAGGCAGCGTCTGGGGTGGTGGCTTGCAATGACATCACACTACCTAAAGACGAGTTATTTCTAACTTTCTTCTGTTCTTTGGGGAAAAGTGCTATCCACAGGTTAAAAAAAAAAGGTTTATGGCAAATTTTTAGCTATTGTTATTAAGAAAAATTTCCTCAAGGACGGGCTGATTTGTACACTGATACACCCCAAAGACCTGGAACAGTGCCTGGTACAGGTAGACCTGCACTGAACATTGGTCGAATTTATTCATTCTTCTGAATGAATACGTGGGAATACGTTAATATAAGACAAAGTCCCTGATCTTATGGAATCTTAGAGATGAAAACAAAATGGTCAGAAAACAAGACAGACCGACCATAAACATTGTGAGGATAGGAGAACAAGTTTATCTCTGTGCCTAGATAGTGTCTGATGCAAAGTGTCTGGGTCAGACACTTTGTTTAATAAATACTTGATTAATCCAGCTCAGCAAGCACACGTGCTTGGCCCAACACCTAAGAATACTGCCACTGACTGAGCCCTTAATAAGTTCCATTCGCTGTGATGAAAGTTTCACACACATGAGCGCCTCTAATTCTCCAAACAAACAAACAAACACCCTGTGAAGTAGATTTTAAATATCTCCAACGGTCAGAAACAGAGCTGGAGCTTATGTACGGAAAACAACTAACTGTGGAGAGCCAGTTAGCAAATGCCGGTATGGGGTGAGGAATTTGAGCCTGTCTGCACTGGAAGCCGGCGTCCGTTCCCACGTGCTCTCTGCCGCCCCTTCTGCATCGCTCAGAGGGCTTGCCTCTAACACATCGCAGCTCAGGGGCTTCCTAGTCACGTACGTAAAAATCTGAGACCACGTTACCATCATCTGGGAAACAACAGTTCCATTCCCATTTCTCCCTTGCAGTTAGTTCCTGGGTGTCACACGGATGGGGCCTCCTATTACCAACGTCATCCTTCAACTCTGGCTTCCTGAAGCCAGCGCATCTGTAGCTTTTGGATCACATGGGTTCCATCCAAGAAGCAGACAATCTCCTGTTTCCCAAGAATCACAAGGGTGAGTGATATATTTTTTCCCTTTGTAGTTGAAATGTTATCCTGTCTGGTTGGATGGACTTGGCAGGCTTGAACTAAAGAAAACCACCCATCTATCCCATGTTCTCTTCCTCTGATGACTTAAATAGAAGTGTAACAGAATCCCTTGCTTAAACCTTCGTAGTTGAGTCCCAGCCCCCGCTTTCCAGAAATCAGACAGGAATTCCCACGGGAATGTCGACTGAGAGGCAGTACGGGCCCAGAGTGACGCAGTGATGAGAAACAGGGAAGGAAGTGATGGAAAGTCGGGAAAGAGGACTGAGACCCACTGACCGCGCGGTGGCCGAGCGTCTTAACACACTCACGCTGATGTGGCTTCGGAACGCATGCGGTCGAGGAAGAAGCCGGCCTCCACGTACTTGAGCCTGGCATTGAGAGTCTGTGACTCACATGCCGGGTCTGGAGCAGACTAATGAGTTATGAACAAACTACAGGCACTAATTCTGCATTGGAGTGTCTATGATCTATTTGTCAACTGTTCATTTATCACTTCATAACATCAATCGCCACTCCTCAGTCTTCAGGCACAGTGTACTAAGTGTTACCCTAGCAGCAAGAGAGATGGATCTCTACCCAGAGACCATTCCAGTTACATGCATTAAATGCACACATACACAAATATGGGATAAAGGTAAGAGCGCCCTCGAAGAAAACAGGAGTGCCAGGGTGGGGAGAAGTATGCTAAAGCGAAAGACATGGAATAACAGCAAAAATAGTTAATACCATTTATTTAGCTTCTACAACATGACAGGCACAGTGCTAGGCACAGGCACAGTGACTTTACAAAGACCCTTTGCAATCAATTTTCTTGTCCCCAGTTTACAGATGAGAAATTTGAGGCTCAGAGAGATGAACATTTTTAGGTGCCAGAGCGAGTAAATGAAACAAGCAAATTTAAACCCTGCTCTTTCTGACTGCGAAATGCCTGCTCTTACTATATTAATGCAGTGTGTCCTAAGGATATTAGTAGAAAATGTGGTGCTGAGAACTCTGTTCTTTGAAGGAAGCATTAATAAAACAGAGAAGTTAGAAACTTAATATAAGAATCCTGGAAATATGCCTGAGCTAGAAATTAGATTTAAATTCTATCTTCTGCCATTTCACTAATGACTTTATTCCTTGGGTAAGTCACTATACCCCTCTGGACTTAAGTTGTATCATCTCTTCTATTAAATTAATAAGATAAATGTAATACTCTTATTGATTTCAGCAGGAGTTTTGGTGCCCAAATCCCACCCACCTCCACCCCTGCCACGCAGGGTTCTCTGTTGAAGGAGAGATTGGAGCAAGGCTACATAGCCAAATGGGAAGCCATGAGCTAGCCCTTCAGGTGTGGGGTTCCTAGACTAAGTCAACCAGGGCACTGTGGGCTCTGAGCGCGACGGGGCCTTCCTCTCCCTACTCCCACTCAGCAGGGTGGGATCTACAGAGCACATTCCACACTTACTTACAGAACTAGCCTCATGGGTAAGAACAGTCAACCTGCCTCAGCCACCCAAGTGCAGAGAAACATAGGGTCAAAAAACGGGGGTACACTTTCCCTTCTAAATGCACCAAAGCATATGTAGGGGGTGGAGAAGAAGCAGAAGAAAAGAGTAATTTCTCTCCTCTGCAAGTGACTTCTAAGGTCATCCCTGGTATAAGGAACCCATGATTGATGAAGCCATTGCCCATAAACAACCAGGGCTAACATTTAATGACTGTCCTTCAAACTCAGATGTGTAGTGAAACTGGGGGTTACCTATAACAAAAGGACTATGAGATTAAAAGCAGACTTTCAATCAGAACAACAGATATCAGAAGACAATGGCATAATATATTCAAAGCGCTAAGGGAAAATCATTGTCAACCTAGAATTTTTTACTCAGCCAAACTACTATTTAAGACGGAAGGCAGAAACCCAGTTTACAAGACACAGTTTCTCCTGAAAAAAATCATCCGAGGAAAATGTGCCTCCTGACATTCTCATTTGAGAAGCAGGAGTGCTTCTGAGCTCACATGGCGGCTCTCCCCTTGGGCCCTGCTTTTGCTCTCTGCCCGCAAGGTAGAATCTGCAGGACTGAGGGGACATACCCACCGGGAATCTGCCACTCCTTCTAAACCCTGACTCTGATACCCAGAACCCCCAGAATTCCCTACCAAACACACCAGAGTCTACTTACAGGTCCTAGGTGAATCTCCTTCCCCAATCAGTTGTCCAAGAGTGGGAGCTGCTACCAGTGGTTATACCCCTGGATCTAAGAGGTGGCCAGGAGGTAGCTGGTGGCAAGGATTGTGAATGGAGCTTGGACGGATGGGCGAGGAGAACTGTAAGGATGTCTCCGAGGCCTTAAAGTGTGTGAGATGAAGCCAGAGTGAAACAGGACGGTGCAGGCTGAAGAGCAAAGACCAGAGGCCCACTTTTCCCAAGCCGCAAGTTTCTGGCTGGGGAGCCCAAGAAGTCCATGAAATCTAAGTTTGCACCTGGCTCCCCAGCTTGTTAGGAAGACATAATTGTCACAAAAAAGGACAGAACATCATTTATTTAATAATGTGTAGGCTTGTCTTACAACTGTTAAACATTTAGACATAGGTATATAGGCCTCCTTTTTCGATTTTGCTCTAGGCCCTGCAAATATTAGGGGAAGCCAAGAAGAAAAGGGAGCCTGTGGGAAAGGAAATAGAGCATAAGAAACAACGCTGGTATGGAAGTTAATAAACCATGCCAACAAATTAATAAATCAGTGACCATAAGAAAACTAATTAAAACCACAATGGCCTATCATCCCACATGTGTCAGAATGGCTGTCATCAATTAATCAACAAACAAGTGCTGGCAAAGGTGTGCGGAAAGGGGAGCCCTTGGGCACTGGTGGTGGGAATGCAGATGGTGCAGCCACTGTGGAAAGCAGAATGGAGATGCCTCCAAAAATCAAAAATGGATCTGCCTTTCCACCCAGCGATCCCACTTCTGGGAATATATCAGAAGAAACCCAAAGCACTAATTTGAAAGAACATAAGCACCCTATGTTCATTGCAGTGTTGTTTAATTACAGTTACCAAGAAATGGAAGCAGCCCAAGTGCCTCTCAGTAGACAAGTGGATGAAACAACTATGGGACATTTACACAATAAAATACTATTCAGCTGTAAAGAAGAAGAAAGTTTTACCCTTTGCCACAGTGTGGATGGACCTGGAGGACATGGCGCTAAGAGAAAGACAAATACCATATGATCTCACTCATCTAGTGCACAAACTGAACTGACAAGGAAAATGGGGACAGACTCAGAGGCGGAGAGCAGGGTGGCAGCGGTGGGGGGAGGCTCAGGGCTGGAGAGGTGGAGCGAAAAGGAGAGAGGGCTCCTGGACACGGACCGCAGTGTGGCGACCGCTGGGGGGACGGGGTAAAGAAAGCACTAACGGGTAATGGAAAAAACGCAAAAAAGACAGGAGGAATAAATCCACATTTTATCCGTATTTTAATCAATAAAATGTGGATGCAATGAAAGCACCTATTAAAAGACAGAAATTAGCAGTTTGGATAACAAAGAATAAAATCCAGCTACATGCTACTTATACTCAATTGAAACAAAATCACACAGGCTGAAAATGAAGTTATGGAAAAAAGACATGGCATGCAAACTCTAACCAGAAGGAAGCTTATTTTATCATGTTAGTACCTGATAACAGATTTTAGAGCAACAGAGTTAGTGCAAATAAAATGTGATACAACAAAACCATATAAGGAGAAATGAACCAAGGAGAAATGATAATCACAAATGTATATGCACCTAAAAAGCATAATTTTGATATATAAAGTCTCTAATAGGCATCTCCTTCATCAAAGCAGACCAAAAAGAGGCAAGGAGGTAGGAGATTTGAACCAAACATTACCAAGCTTGATGTAATGTCCATATTTCTATCTTATATCTACAGAGATGATCCTTTTCCCTCTAGTTAGAAAATGTACATTGTTTTCAAGAACAAAAAATGTACTCAACCACATAGTAGGACAAAATTAAATGAAAAGTCAGTAACATAAAGATAACTAAAGTATGCCCTGTATATGAAATTTTTTAAAAGTCAGAAAAAACTCACAGCTTACAGGAGAAATCAAGAAGAAAACAGAAATGCATTTACAACAAAATAAGGATGAAAATGCTAAATTTTGTGTTTTGTTGGGACAGAGCTAATGGGATACTTACGTGGAAGCACGCACAAGAAAAAATAACCCTAGAATACAACAGAATTAATAAAATTTGAAAACAATAGAAAATATCAGATAGGAGGATAGAACAGAAAATACCAGATAGGAGGATAGAAGAAATTAATTTTTAAAGAATGAGATGATACTCTTTATGCTATTTTAAACAACATACCCAACATTTAATTTTACTTTAAGAGGAAAAAGAAACAGCAATAAATTGCTGAATGTGAGATAAAAACTGTTTATGTATTGATTACTTTTTATTTATTTTTACTTCTATATTTTCTATTGTTGTTCAAGTACAGTTGTCTCCATTTTCCCACCATCACTTCCCCCGCCCCACCCGCCCCCACCCACCCTCAATCCAAACCCCCTTTGGCTTTGGCCATGGGTCCTTCATACGTGTTCCTTGATGATCCTTCCCCTTCT